AGAGAAATGTTTAGAAATGGTACAAGATGGCCGATGACGAACCTCGCTCTGGACGCCCCAGCACATCAATAACTGATGAAAGCGTTGAAGACGTGAAAGAAATGGTGTTGCACAACCCTGGAATTACTATTAGAGAAGTGCCTGAAGACGTAGGCATCTCTATTAGCTCGTGCCATTCAATTGTTTCCCAAGTGTTGGACAAGGAACCTGTAGCAGCAAAATTTCGTACGAAACTGTTAATTTTCAACAAAGGGACCGTCGCCCAAGAGCTGCCACACGACGTCAATGATGATCCTGATACGCTTAAAAAGGTTATCACTGGTGACGAATCATTAATCAAAGCATCAACTAACCAACCAGTCGTCCCAATGAAAGAACCCAGAATCGCCAAAACCGAAAAAAGCACTTTTGAGGGGATTGGGAACAAACCTTGGAAGGGACAACATTAATTTTGATGAATAAATAAATTCTTTTTAACAAAACTTAAAAGTCACCTTACTTTTTGAACACACCTCGTATAATATATGAAGTCGTCGTGGAAAACTATTTGTTGAGGGCTTCTATTCCTGTCTCGTATTTTATCCTACACAGACAGAATTTCTCTTTAAAAAAGTACCAAAATATCAAGTTAATTAGATAAATCATTTAAAATAAAAATTAGATGTGATATTCCTATAAAAATCGGGGTTTCTAACCTAATATTTCTATTTATTTATATCGCTCTATCGCGTATAATATATATAAGGTACATGGGACACTTTGGCCACCCGATTGGAAGGTTAAATGCAATTTCGATTGGACTCTACAGCATTTTTGCATTGTGCATTCCAACGAGCAAAATTAAAGATTAAGGGCCAATTAAATTTCCTAAAGTGTACTAGCGTTATAGAATAAAATGAATATAAATATACCAATTTATGCTGCATTTAGATTTCGAAAAGGCAAGCTTCGCTTTGATGTCCAAATGTTAAAGAAATCAAAGTGATTATTTTTTAATTAAATATTATTAAAATTCACAAAAAAAAAACACGCAACTTCCCTAGGAAACTATCAACAGGCTCCCCAACGCAATAGCTTCAGATTATCTTTTTCAAGTAGATTCAAATTATTTCCGCCAGAGGTCTCGTTTAATTTTTATAATCGCCAATACCGCTCAGCAATTGTGAACATCTTTTACATTGTTCCCGAGATCAGGCAATAACTCGTAATAATTTGTTCGGTCAACGCGTCATCAATCTTAAATTATTGGGCTATTATTAGACATTAACGTTATGTTTATGAGGAAATTTCTCTGTAAAACAAAGTTTGTTTTTCAGATTAGATCTATAAAATTTTAATAGTGCCATTACGTGCGAACGTTTCATTCGACAATGAAAATGTAAGTGAGGCGTGTATAAAAATCTTGCATTCTAGCTCGCATAACTAAACCGCGTGTCCCGTAGTTACCGACCGACAAAAATGTTTATGAAACAAATAAATTTAAAAGAACAAATGATCCTATACATTTTGAGAATTATAAATTTTTAAGAAACTTTGCACTATCCGTGATAAGAAGGGAAAAATATCTCGATATGGTTTGGGGGGAAAATATTATTAACCCTGAACTACTACCGTACTTTGCTATTGAGGGTCGAATTTGACCCTGCGATAGCAGTTGCGTTAATTCTATTTTAGTTAGAATGGCTTTTAATAGTGATAATGTTCGAATTGGCGGTGTCACAGTGTGACAATGTGTTCAACTGCTCTTTAAACGACCGACCTGAGAATGTGGAAGATAATAGTGACAATAATAAAAGTGATACAGACAATGAAAGTGGACACTCTGAACATGGTACAGCCTCAGAAATCCATCAGAAAGTGACGCAGATTACATAAGCGACGAAGTTGAATCAGACGCAACAGATATAAATGGGCTAAAAATCCTCCGGCACCATCAATATTATTACGCACCTTCCAGATTTTCGTGGACCTGCTTTACAATCAAAACCATCTAGTCCAATTGAATCGTGGTCTCTATTGATAACCCCTAATTTGTTAGAGTATACAAATGGACAAATTACCTACCAAAGTGCGAATTGTCGATTTGCCGATCATGTAGGCGATGCTTAACTCAATGCTTATTGTGTATTTTATATCTCTCTGGTTTATTCAAATCCAATAACGTAGAAGTAGAAGCACTATTTTCAACAAGTTGCTTAGGTAGACTAATTTTTCGGGCAAGAATGTCAAAGAAACAGTTCTTATTTCTTCTCACTGTCATTAGATTTGGTAGCATGTAACAAGAGAGCAAAAAAAGCCCAGTGGTGATAGACTTGCAGCAATATCCTATTTGTTCAACACTTTTATATTAAATTACACCTGTTCCAAATATGACACAATCGATGCAATGTTGGTTGGGTTTAGGGACAGATGCCCTATTAGGATGTATATGAAAGCCAAACCAGTCAAGTACGACAGCAAGATTATGTGTCTATGTGATTCCAAGACACATTATTTGATGAACCAAATCCTCTGAAGCTGTCCATACCTACCAGATCAGTACTCAGTTTAGTGAATCCATTTGCTAATAATAACAGGAATGTCACTGGTGATAACTGGTTCACTTCATTAGAGCTGGTTAATGAATTAAAGAAACTTGGACTTACATATGTGGGAACCATAAGTAAAAACATGAGGGAAATTCCTTCACAATTTCAACCCAATAAAAACTACGAAGTTGATAAGCGAGACAACGCAATAGTATAATATGTCCCTAAATCAATGAGCATTTGAAAATAAGATTTGCTATGCCCAATTTGTCCAGAGAACTTCGCTCAATAATCTCGAAAGCATTAGGATCTGAATATAATCGTGATGATCAGCCTAGACGAGAACGTCCTGTTTTAAGGGGTAGGTGCTACTTGCGTCCCAGGGGTAAAGATATCAAACATTCCACCATTTGCTCAGAATGTCATAGGACAATCTGCAAAACCCATTCACTACAACAAGTCACCTGTACTTCATGCCAAGAATCAGCACTATGTAAAAAATCAAATTCTATATTTTCAAAAATTATGTCAAAAATATGCGTGTCCTCTTTTTTTGCTTGAGATTTGAATATCTTTTTTTCTGTTACAGGTGAAGATAGTATTATGAGAATCCTATTTCCAGAGAATGGACTATTTGTTCCAATATTTTTTAATACTTTTTTTTGTTCTAATGAACGTTTGTTTTTGTTTTATATAAAAATGAAGGTGTTGTTTATTTATGTTCTAATATTTTTATTTTTTTGAAATATAAGTGTCTTTTTCTAAACATGTATCTTCTACATACTCATGCATTCATCAAATATAAAAAAATCACAAATTACATTTAAATAATTACCACAGTCAATCAAAAATTGGGGAGGGGGAGGTCCTTTGTGACCCCACGATAGTCGTTATGTAAGTATAAATGGGCGAGAGTAGTTCAGGGTTAAAAAAATTGGTCTTCGATAAAGGGTTTTAAAATGGGAACTGGCAAAAAAATCAGACTATACCCAGCATACTTTCTGATCCTAATAATTGAAATAATTGTTTCGATTCAGAACATTTCCGATTGCAATGAAAAAATAACTTTTTCTATTCCCGTTTGTAAAATGACTAATTACCCACCGATCTAACGTGAGGGAAGCGCCACTTTACCACGTCAGTTTGGTTTCCACGGATCCGAGCCACTTCGGCCATTTCCGGGATTTTACCGCACGGGTTTGGGAGCAATCGGATGTTATCGGAGATTTTACCGCAAGTTACTAAATTTTGACGTTTGTCAATTCTGATGGTCATGTCAGTGAATGTATTCGTATTGTTTTGCAAAAATTTACCCAAAAACTAATACACAAAAAAATGTTAAGCAATATATCAGACAATTTAAATACTACGTGCCATAAGCTACAATTAAAATTTAGTGGACTAGACAGAAATTTTGCATACCGTGCGCATGAACTTTAGTGGTTTTTATAGTTTTTATATTTGCCAAGACCAATTGTACGATTTTCAAGTATACATGTCTCATCAGTACAAACAAAACAAAGTTGAAGCTTAGGACCTGCTTTTTCTTGCGTATACGCTCCTAGAAATTTAATCCTCTCAAAAAGTCTATCCTTGAATGATTTTTCTTCCAATTAGAGTATTTTTTTAAAAATACACTACTTCATGGTCAATTTTAAAAGTTAAATAAACAACATAGCGTTTTTAATATTGTGTTTATTCCGTTGTTGATTTGACAACGTGCACAGTTAAAAAGGGACAACAGTAGCAGAACCGATCGGAACGATAACCGATTAGGTTTAACTGCAACTAGTAAATATTTTGTTTGAATGGTAACTAAATTTAATAATCCGAGAATCTGTTATTATTTTTATTTGGTTAAATTATGATTTTTTCGTGACGGTAGTAATAAAAAAAGTATATTATTCGACATCTTCGGTAAACTTTTTAAGTCACTCGGTTAATAAACACTCGCTCCGCTCGTATCCAATAAACCCGTGATTCTCCTTAGTTTTTACAACCTGGCTTTAGATGACCTTTTACATGGTCCGTTTCCATAAATTTTCTCCAAATTTTGCAATAAACAAATTCCCCACTTCTTCTTAAGTTGCCGTTTACCTCACTTGTTGCATAATATACTATTGTATGACAATAACCCAAGATCAAAATGTTATAATATTAAATTGAATTCGACAAATTTTCATAACTGAATGGACTCTACCGGACAATCAGCAGCAAACCTGATAACAGAGCACGGAATCCCATTTTAATGGTCAGGCGCCGTCGCAATGCCTTTTATTATTCCCCGGCTAGAGATAATTTACGCGTCTTTCGAGCGATTGGGACCACCCATTCGTCTAATCGAACGCACTTCATTTTCCAGACATCTGACAATGGATACTCGAGCTTCCTGCTCTTCCCCAACAATTTTTCCCGATCCTCGAATCTCCTGAATGAAATCGAACGGCCTCGTTCGCAAGCGCCGCTACACCCCGATGGAGTCTAGGGTCTCGAGACACCGCACTGGTCCGTTTTATTTTCAGTCCGGCTCTAGAAATTGGTCGCGTCAGTTCGCTTGGTCGTCGTCCGCCCGGATTCCGAATCACCTTCATTACTTTTTGTAAGTTTTGTGTCCCACCAAATGCATGTTTCGCTGCGCATCGTACAACTCGACGCTGTGGGCTGTATTGTATTATCGATTTGTTGTCGATGATTGACTTCACGGAAAACATTAGCCTCGATCCAATTAATGTTAATGCAAAAAGGAATGAAAACAATATAGTACATTTTTCTGGGGACGAACATTTATAAAAATCAATTTACATTTTCCTGAAAACGCCACACATGAACCGACTTAGACGACTCTGGAAAATCGAAAAATTGAGGGGCAAATCACCATCCAAAATAACATATTTCGCATTTTTTTTTAACTCCGTCTTAGCAACTATAACATTAACATTTTTTTTTCAAATTTAACCATCTATTTTTATAGCCGTCTTCTTTAGAATGAAAGGTTATAGTAATTGTTAACGGAAGAAATCTTCGAATTTTGCGACGTATATTCTTGCCTGCTCCATGGTTTATATGATTTATTTGGTTGTTTGCTGACACCAATGTTTAAACTGACTTCGAGTGGAACGTATTCCGTGCAGTTCAACTTTAAAAGACTTGTGCTTATATATTTTTAGCACGCTTGTGGTTACCAAAAATGCTGTTTATCAAAATTGGTAACGGTGCAACCAAAAGTCAAAATTTTTACGAAGTCTACAAATAACCCAAAAATTATTATTTTAAGAAAAATGATCGCTCACCGTCATTATTTTTTCGTCGGCTCTTTTGTGGTAAATAGAAAATGTAAAGTATGTTTCGAAAAGTAAATGCCAATACCAAGTTTCTTTTTTAAATCAATCACACAAGAACAAAAAGCATGTCAACGACGTTATTTTATTGCATATTGAAAATGTTCAACATCAACTACTTGTCAATATACTAATCCAAAACAATTTCCTATCTAATTCTAGTAAGATTTTGATCGAAGAAATAAGGTTTAACAATCATTTATTTTTTGCGGATGTTGTGCATGACTTTCTCTCATTCATCGAGGATTATTTGTACTCATACGATGTACGATGGAAAAATTGCACAATTCGATCATAGTTTCACAAATCTGTAGTCTGCGGTCGGGATCATCTTTGTTCAGCTTGGGTGGTATGTAATCGCAAACGCAAGGCTGTTACGAATCCGAGCCAGTTCGGATATTTGCGGGATTTTACCGCACGGGTTCGGGAGGAATCGGATGTTTTCGGAGATTTTACGACACGGTCTGAATTTTGTCGTTTGTCAATTCTGACGGTCATGTCAGTGAATGCATTGTTTTGCAAAAATGTACCCAAAAACTAATACACAAAAAAATATTATCAGACAATTTAAATACTACATGCTATAAGCTACAATTAAAATCATGTATAACTTAAGTTTCCCACATAAAGTTTACATACCGTTCACATGAACTTTAGTGGTTTTTATAGTTTTCATGCCAAAGAAAAATTATGATGCATGTGTGGTGGTATATTTAAGAAGCTCCTGCACCTTATCTCCATAAGGAAGACGAAAAAAAGTTAAATACAAAAAATGTTTGACCCAAAGCATATATTTTATTCACAATATTTTTATCTATTTGTGTGTATTGTGGGTGTTCAATTGCAGCAGACGAAATTCTAAGTAGTTTTTGAGAAAAATAAACTTTTCCATTTTTTTTCCGAAAAACAGGCCTTTACACTTGAAAACCAAAAAAAAGTGGCTAATATTTAGTGTTTTGACCTATCTATGTCTATTTTACATAAATATGTAATTTAACATCTTATTTTGTTTAAATTAAACACCCTGTATTTAGAACTTTTATCGGGTCTGGGATTTAATTTTCTACCTTTTATAACAAAACTTGGTAGTTTAGAAGTTATGGATAGTTAATGCAACAACTTGTGTTTTTAATTTTATATCTAACTAAAGGTATATAATATTCTATTATAAGTTTTTCTTAAACATAAATTGCTTAAATTCAATACAAAATCAACAAGTAATACAAGTAAATAGTACTTATAACTAATTACAAAACATTTTTAACATAACCTCCATCTATGGCAATACAAGTAATATATACCAATTTTCGCAATAGAATTTGTAATCGCGTCTATTGTATTCAGTTTTTATACTCTTGCCAAATTCTCATTTTTAAGTCCTCAACACTATTAAAGTTATTTTTATACACTTCGTTTTTTAAGCAGCCACATAGAAAAAAGTCCAGTGGTTTCAAGTCAGGGCTCCTCACCGGTCAATCCATGGTCCCGTACCGACCAATCCAAAACGGACTACGTCGATTTAAACAATTTCTAACAGGCACATGATAGGCCGTCGGGCAGATTATCAAGTGGAAATCAATGGAAATATATAGTTCTCCAATAAATTTAAATATCTCTCACCATTCAGAACAAAGTCCTGTTGGGATAATTTCTGAAGTAGCAAAAATTTGAATTGATGTTCGTTTTTCACGTCTAGTAGGACAATTTTTGAAAGGGGTTTTCAATTGTTGACTACCTCCCAACTTTCAAAATCACGAACAATTCGTGAAAAAATATGATTCCTGGATACCCGTCTTGCAGAATACAACAACTTTATTCTCTTTGAGCTAGTACTCGACTTTTATTATTTCTTAACATAAAACTAACCAAAACTAACCACTTCTATGGATCAATAACAAAAGTCTACAATTTCAATTCATTTTTCTCCAAAATCTCGTATGCTATGCAATGACAAAAAATATTCACAATAAAGTCAATAATTATAATTTTTCAACATATTGTCCTGGTAGAACGGAACACCCTGTATGGATAAAAATGCTACAAATACAATACATATTTAGGGTCAACCACTTTTTGTACTTAACTTTTCTTCCTGAGTGTCGGTCGTACTTACCGCATCTGAAGTAGACCACCCTGTACGAACATGTTTCTTAAAATCCAATACCTGATGTATAACAACTTATCGCAGCCGTTTATTTTATATTCCATTTTTTTAGTTTAATTTCTTAATTATTGAATGATGTTTTAATTACTAGACAATATAACTCAAACAACAAAATCTTATACATATGCTACAGTTTCACTGATTCCACTAACTTCTCAATAATTTCACCGATTTCACGAAAACATAATGCACCTGTTATTATGTTATTATTGTTATTATTAAAAATTCCAACAAAATCTTATACATATTACAATATACAATTTCACTGATTTCACTAATTTCTTAATAGTTTCACAGATTTCACGGAAACATAATGCACCTGTTATTATTGTTATTATTTAAAACTCCAACAAAATATTATACGTATATTACAATTTTATTGATTTCATTAATTTTTCAATAATTTCACCTATTTCACCGAAACATAATGCACCTGTTATGATGTTATTATTGCTATTATTAAAAATTCCAACAAAATCTTATACATATGGTACAATTTTACTGATTCCACTAATTTCTCAATAATTTCACCTATTTCACCGAAACATAGTGCACCTGTTATTATGTTATTATTGTTATTATCAAAAACTCCAACAAAATCTTATACATATCTTACAATTTCACTGATTTCACTAATTTCTCAATAATTTCACCGATTTCACGGAAACATAGTGCACCTGTTATTTCACTAGTGATTTATCCTTCTGGGAAAATTTACTTCTTTGAAGCAACGCTTTTTCGAAATAGTTTCGATGGCGATTCCGATTTTTATTGTTGTGCGGTCCTAAAGTGCAAATAATCATTTCAAAAATAATATTGCCCCCGAGATGACTTTTTTTAAAGGAAGGGATAATGTATCGATGCCTTGAGATTAAATAAAAAAGGTCTAATAAATCTTTGTTATCTGAGAAATTCCAAAAATGTTTGTGAAATCTTAACGTATTTCTAAAATTTTGTTGAAAGCTTGGAGTAATAAAATGATGCTTAAATAATAAAATGAATTTGTTTGTGTGTTATTTGTAGTTTGACGTAGCAGTACATAAATATAAGTATTATTATGAGTATTAAACCACCTTTATTGGTGTTGCAGTTTGCACTTGAAGTTCAACACACTTGGCTTTTTTCAGGTTGTAAGATATTAACCATAAATAAATAGGATTTTGATGTTTGTGCAGTTTTGTAGTGATTTTTGTGTAGCGGAAATACTTCAAAAGTATTATCTATTACAGACACTTTTATGAGATGGCGACATAATCCAATGTGCGACATCATTGTAGCTAGCAAAAAATAAAAAAATCAAGGTTCTAGATTATTACGTATTATCAGATTTTTCCAAAAATTTCTATTAGTTGTTAATTTTTACTTAGTTTGAATAAGTAATTTAAACTTGCTTGGCAGAAAATGTCCGACTGTTACTAGCAAATTTTTAATTCATATATTTTATTATATTCTGAAGTAATATATTATTCTTGATATTTTATAAAGAAAAATTATTTTTTTTACGTTTTAAGTCGAAGTATTTTTTTAGTTAAAAAAAAAAAAGTTCGTAATGTTCCCTGAAAATAGCTTTGCAGAAGTCTCCTAAACTCTCATTATAATTAATAATAAATTGACGACCTCTGTCGGAAATGCGAAATTACGAAGAAGTAGCAGGAGATTAAGACTAGATGAAGGGTGGTGGTTTAAGAGACTAAACGTATTGTTAGCCCACGTTAACTAAGTAATAAGTAGTACCAAGGATAACTAACTCTTCGTAACCTTTTTATTATAGGACTTGATATGGAATTTATGTGGGAATATTGATTGATTGATAGTGATAAATATGTTCTGTTAATTTTTCAAAGAAACTTTAAACTTGTTGATGAGTTGAGATGTTTTGTTTTGTCTAAGGTTATGTTGTTTTGTTGTAGAGCTGCGTCGAATTGAATCAGCTAAGTCATTCATAAATGACGAATAACGAAGCGACACCATTTAATGAAAATGAACATTCGTCGCAAATATTGCTAAAAAGCTAAATTCAATTTTGTAAGAATGGAATTTATGCTTATGTAAAACCGTGCTTCGGGAAACACCCACTTCGCTAGACATTTGTGCGAT